AAAAAAAAAACTAAACGGATGTGGTACATCCGTTGAAGATTTTTTCTTCAACGGATGTCGACATCCGTTCAAGAGAAAAGGAGGAGGTGTAGGATATTTTAAAATATAAAGGATAGTTTTGGAATTTAAAAAAAGTGTGGTGGTGCAAGGAGCAATGTGTGGTGGTGTAGGGAGTAACTCCCCAAAAAAATAAAACTCATTTTATTTCCTCACGGATTTGAGTCCTAGCCCTGACCTCCCAACACAGAGTCGGACATATAAAAAATAAATCATTCATAAAACAAATAAAACATTATATGCACCACTTACAATTTGGACAAGTGACCTTTAAACCACTATAAGAAGCTTTTACCAAGCAAACCATATGATATTTTGTGAAAAATTACCTCTTGTATCAATTACAACATAAACCAGTTACAATTCTTGTATATACATTGCATTTTTTTTTAATCTTACACTTTCTTTTAAAGTGACAAAGGATTAAGTATTTTTTTTCTTTTAGACGATAATTATTACCATAATCTTTTATTTATCAGTTTGTGATTTGCTTCTCAAAATATCTTTAAGAAAACAAAGGTTAAGATCTGTAAATAATTTTATGAATTCTCTTTCTAGATTAGAGACCTAATTGATAGTTGACAAAAGTAAAAGTAATTTCGCTAAATTGCAAATTTCGGTTCTTTTCTTTTTCATCTTCATCTTTATCTTTCAATTTTCCGTTATATATTTTTCATATGCTTTATTTATGTTATTTTCATCTAATTGAACTGTAGCCGTAATTAACATACTTATTTTAGACACCTTTAACGGATAAATAAATTAATCATAATATACAAATGAAAGAAATAAATAACAGTCCAGTTATATATATATATATATTATTGCACATTAGCAACAATGAAAACATAAGATTGGTGAAACTTAATTTGAAAGTGATGCAGACGCGCAGATGAGTGGAATCAAAGTCAATGAAGTGACTTTGGGGTTTGAACACCAAATTACAGTCACAAAAAGGAAGCACTATTTTCTTGACAATTTCAATCACAAACGCACCTCACGAACCTTCCTCCAATTCTTTCTTCCACCCTTCTTAAATTCACACCTTCAAATTTTTCAACATTTAACCTTCTCATTCGTTTCAGCCCTTCAAAGGCTCTCTCTTTCTCTCTATATTTCTCTTCTTCCCCATCTTCCTCTGTTCTCATCGTTCTTCATCTCCATGCCTTCGTTAAGATTACTTCACCTTTTCTCTCTTTCTGCCACCTCTAACTTACCTCCCCTTCTGCACAAAACTTCTAAGGTCTTCACATTTTCTTTCTGCATTATCAATCTTATGCTTTATTTCCCACTCTAAGGCACTGTTTCATTTCACTTTTTACTTACAACATGTTACGTACGTTGCAGGTGTATATCAAAGCAGCTGGTTTTCGATCACTGTCTACAAGTACGTTAAGCTTCATCTTATCTTATTTATAGTTGTTTATTTCAGTTGCTATATAAACAACGTATAGAGAGAATGACGTAGGATTATTTTAAATAATTACAAATTTTAAACTTCAAATGAAATGAAATTGATGATATCATCCTTCACTACGCTAAATTAAATTAATTAATTAATTTCTGTATATGCTATCTTATAGAATTTTTTATAAACTTCTTTTTCGTATGTATTGATTTTAATTTATCAGAAAAGTTATTAATTTGTTATTCTCAATTTTAATAACTATATAGATAGCTTCTCTTCATAAATTTTTTTAACATTAATACTTTGATCCTTCGTAATAAAAGAATACTCATCTGATAACTAATTATATTACTAAATTTTATTTTCAAAATAAAATTACTATTATATTATATTATATTATTAAAATAAAGCTATCAGGTGATGTTTATTTAATAAAGGTATTAAAATATAATTTTTCAAAATTTTCAAATTAGAGTACAATGGTTAAATCTAGCTGGGTACAACGTTTGTGTTTGTTTCATTAGATTCCAACAATTAGCATCATAGTTTATTTTTTGATAGAATTATGTACTAAACTCTCTCTCTGCACCTTATTCCATATTTTAGGACTCTATATATCTTATCAATTTATTATTATTATTAGTGTATAATGTAGATTAATGGTGTATAAATAAGTAGTTTAAGAAAAAGTGGGAGGGCAAAAGCTGACGTGGTATCATTTTCAAGTGTGTTTTTTTTTTTTTACGAAAAATGACAACACCAGTAGAAAGACATTCTTTGGGGAAATTGGAGAGCAATTTCATGAGCATGAACACAGTCTATAATAGTGTGCTTAGAAAAGAAGCACGATTCTCAATTTATATTGCAATTTCCCAATCGCAAACACGTTCTATCTCTGTAGGTTCAGTCAAAATGGGTTCCGTAAGAAGCCACGGTGCCGTTTCGTACCAGAACGTTGTCGTAATGAGGCACGGCGAGCGCTTCGACAACTTAGAACCGTCGTGGGCCGCCACGGCGGCGCGTCCGTGGGATCCACCGCTGGCCGAACCGGGCCGGCAGCGGGCGCTCGAAACGGGCCGGAGGCTCCGAGAGAGTCTCGGGTTTCCGATCCGGCGGGTCTTCGTTTCACCGTTCCTCCGCTGCCTCCAGACCGCCATAGTACTCGTCCAGTCTCTCGCCGCCGTAGAGGAGGGTGGCAGCACCACCGGGGACGGTGTTGCAGTTGACCCTTCTGAAGTCAAGGTCAGATTGTTTTATTTTAGTTTGTGAGTCTATTAAATGATAACATAGTTAATAAAAATTGAAAAAAGGTGGTTTAATATTTTTTGAATAATAGAAATTAAAAGAAAACATTTGAAAATAAAGTAAACTTATATGAAAAGGTGTAATTGTGAGAAATAAAGATGTTTGTTGTTGTTTAAAGTGCAGGTGTCGGTTGAGTATGGATTGTGTGAAATGGTGAACAGCAAGGCTATTCGTCCAAACGTTGCTCCAAAAGATGGAAACTTGAGATTTGATATAGCAGAGTGTGAATCGATGCTGCCAGCTGAGATAGTGGATAAAAATGTTGAAAGGGTGTATAAAGAGGTACATTGGAGTTCAATTTCACTCGTATATGCATCCATCCATGCTACTATTCTAACTTTTTTCTGCCTTGTAAACTTCAGTTTCCGCGATGGGGAGAAACAGAGTTGCAAGCAGGGGAAAGATACAAGCACTTAATTAAGGACCTTGCTGACAAATATCCCACTCAAAACTTGCTCCTTATTACACATGGTAAACATCCCAATTCTTCTCTATTTAACATATTGCCCTTCTATAATACTCAACTTTTATTTTATGTAAGTATTAATTACCATCTGGAAAATTATTTATCGACATTCTAAATATTAATTACCATCTCATATATACTTGGAAAATAAAAATAGGTCTGTAGAATATATGATGTGACAACAACAAAAATATATAAGAAAATAAGTATTTATTAGATATTGTCAAAATAGCATTTATTAAATATATAAGAAAAAAAAAAGAACTGGTAGGTTAGTTTGCCAACCTGCTTTCTAATAGAGAGGTTAGGAACTTTAGCATGATTCTACCTATTTTTAATAGGTCAACTGGATCTCATGCAAACAAAATTTCAGTGGTAATATTTATTAATTTGAACTTAATACTTGTACATTTTGAGCGCAAAAAATATATATTGTAAACTAATTAAGATAAATAGTTATAGATTTTGGTACTTGAAAATTATTTCTATTAAAATAGGTATTTCCAAATTCTTGCAGTAATGTTGATAACTAACATTTAATAAATATGCAAATTTGATCTAGCCGTTATTCTATTACTTTTGAATTGACATGGTTGATATCATAATTTTAACAATATGACATGTTTGCATACTCTTAAATACATGATTAAAATGATTTTAATTCAAGAACAATAAAATTACAATTAAAACTAAATTTTCGTATTTATTAAATATTGAGAGTAAAAAATACTAAAAAACTTATATAGGCACTAACTTTAATACGAGTATATTTCAAAGATGATACAAACAGGATAGGAATGATTACTGAAGCATTTATGATAGAGGGAAGCAAAAATGTATATTTCTTGATAATTTAATTTGGTTAAATTTTTTTTTTTTTACCTTGTTACCATGGGCTACTCTAATAATAAGCAAAAAAAAAAAAACTTAATAAAATTGTTTGCAGGGGAAGGAGTTAAGGTGGCAGTTTCTTCACTAAGAAAGGATGCGGAGATAAATAAAGTGCAGTACTGTGGATATGTAGAACTTAGACGCCCTATTTTCAACAAAGATCACGCATTTACCTTTGGAGAGTTTGATTTACTCACTCCTAGTGATAAAACTGGTGTAAGCTATTCCCTCCCACCTTTCCACAATTCCACCAACCAAACTTTCCCATGATCATTCTCACTTAACTCTACAACCTCACTCTAATGTCTCTCTCAATGTTTGTAATTAGGTGATGCTATGCTACATTAGAATAAGATAGTTGAATCCAAATAAAGCCCCATTATCTGAATCGTGCATTGTATTGTGAATCGCAAGATTCATGATCACTGCTGAAATATAAGACTTGTGTGAGCATGTTAGTCTCTATTCTCAAGCTCTTACTCCAATGGGTCAATTTTTAAACATTGAAACAAGAACACTAATATGCATAACAACACACTGTTTGGTATGACTGCATAATAAGTTCCAACCTAAAAAGGAGGTTGTAATTATACCAAAAGCATTAATTGGTTTTCATCAAAGTAGCCGCTGAATGCTTCAAATACGACATCCAATTAGCAGTACACAGACAATTATTTGTTAAAAAGATGACCCAAATGCAATAAGAAGCATATAAACTGCATTACCAAATTCATAAAACAAAACAGAAACCGACCCTTTATGCGGTGACATAGATATTTATGTATTGAGGAAGAAGTTATAACAAAAGCATTAATAATACAAATGAAATGCTAATAAAAATATTAAAATGAACCAAATTATATGAAGTACACGACAATAATACTTTCTACTTTCATAGCACATTCTCCAAGTTAGTACATATGTTCTATTCATCTAGTCAGAAAGTTTTATGCATAAATATAAATGAAAGTGGTAGGATGTAGTTGCTTGCTCCGACCAACCAAATATTTGTCATTCAAAAAATGGAACATTTATTTGAAGTACTTTCTGAGAATTCAATTGCTATATTTTCATGATTTTAAATAAAACCCATGAACAGTTCCAAAAGGATACCCGAAACTCTACATTGTAAAGTTATTCTCTGAAACTTTTACCAAGACAAAAAGAACACCACACGGAAAATCAAATGGTAGATACAACGGTAATACAACAAAAATGGATGAGAAACAACATTTTCTCTTTCGTTGAGGGGCAGGTTAGATACCATTTCATCAAATCATGGTACCACTATTTGTGCCAAAAAAAAGTGTTGACAATATTCCATTAAAAGTTAACTAAATAACAGATGACAATGGATAGTGGATGCACCAAATGGCCAGGTATTGCGAAACCTGAGGGCAAAAGCATATGATTCTTAAGTTGCACATAAAACCTTCAACCCTTGCGTGCACCATCCCATGAACGTTTACAATAATTTTTGTATCCACCAAGGAATCAAACCACCAGATATCAGTACAAGACATGGCTGAGCTTATTGTCACGAATAATCCATTTTCCTACGCAAATAAATATGCTACTTTTAATTCATAGAAGACCTACAAGTTATTAAAAACCCATGAACAAGTACGCAAAACAAATGAGTATTAATGTTAGAAGGTTAAGCAATTTATCTTCCATTTCCACCCGTAAAAACTATAATAACTTTAGTTCACTCCATATTTGTATAAAATTTGAAGAGTCTAGCTAACAAATGTAAAGAAAAACGGACATAAAAGCATTTAATACCGTTCATTAAATCCTGTTAATTAATAAGAAAATGTAAATGATTTCTGATATTTGAAGATATTAAATGCTTATATGGTTTATCTAATGCTATCTAATTTCATCCAGTAATTAGTGCCCTGAGAACATTTGTTGGCAAATTCCAAATTTTAACACAGTTAAAAGAAACACCAATCTTTGTTTTTCTTCCTGATTATGCAGAACGTTTATTCGACAGTATTCAGATTGGAGATATATCTTAATTGTACAAACTATAAACATATGCTTACTTATTCTGAGTACGTGGAGGCAACCCAAGTTTTGCTCTTAAATTTGCGCCTGCTTCCATGAGATCTTCCACCTGTATGCGATATTATAAAGTAGGATAAAATAGTCACGTCTGCATATAAAGCATCTGAGAATGATAAAGAGCAGACATATTATTCACAGGAAAAGGGAACCAGATCCCACAGTCAAGTGAAAAGAACATCAATAGTTCTCTTGACATCTATCACAAATTAACAACAAACATTGCACGAGTATTTTTCCATCCTCTATTCCAAGTTTCTAACAACAAAACTACCTTAAAATAAGAAATGGTAATAGTGAGGTACAAATACAAAACTGTCATAAGATATAACTCCCAATTTAATTTCTTTTGTATCAATCATGACCATCCATAGTTTGATACATTTCAAAATAACCAAGTAAGAATTCTTGAGTTTGTAATTAAGTGCCAAGAGGGAAAAGGTACCAAACTACCAATCACTAGTATAAATGTTACTATACTACATAGGGTTTACAAACGATAAAGGGATAATAAAAATACTGATTGATTCAAGTAAAGAAGATGGAACATCACATCTATATAATACCACAGAAGTTAGAACAAAAATACAATACAAAAGCAAAGGAAAATAACAAAGCAATCGAGAGCAAATGCAGGGCAAAGAATTAATCAACTAATTTGAACCCAATTTTAATTTATTTTATATTATTATAAGAAAAACAAACCAATTAATTGACCCAAATTAACATGATTTTTAAACAAAAACTATGGAATAAACTTAAAAATAATGAGCTAAATATAGAGGATAAAGAACACAAACAAGTTTACAACTTTTGTCATGCACCAAATGCATAACTTTGTCATGTGAATGAAGAATCTGTAAGATTCAAGAGTTTGAAACATTACACCATAGAACCACAGATTGTGCCCCTAGCTTATATGTAACTGAACAATGGGTACTTCTTCACGACCATTATGCAATTTATAGTGCATCGTTTTTAGCATTTCAATACAACACATCAAATCCTATACATAGGAAAAACATGATCCTGGTTGAGATAATTCCACCTTGACCTCAGCTGTAGCTTTATGTGTGGATGATATCATTAACCCTACCTCCTCTGACTTTTTTTCAGTACTCACCTCTCATTCCTAACATGTCTAACACTCACAATACTTCCATATTAAAAGCACAGCACAGAAAAAAAAAACTGACTTCAAGTTTGTTATGTCTACATGATGTTTAAGTCAAAGAACAATTTCATCCAAAATACCAAAGACAGCACATTGGTGCTTCTTTCTACATTGCTTAACAACCTAAGGAATTCAAAGAACAAAAATATATCTGACACAATTTTTCCACATAATGTAGAGACTCACTCATTTAGAATTAATAAGTAATTTGATATCATGTGAAACTAGTCGTAATGACAGCTCTGTTTACTATAAGTATTTGTCTTCACTGTTCAAGCACACGAACTACGCAGTTTGCACAGAAAGATCAACTTCAATTTGATTTGGCCTCAATTTTTCAATATTCAACTACACCAACATCAAACACCTTGTTCATTTTGCAGATTTATTTAAAAATCATACCATTTGCCAATAATTTTGCAACTGATGTTACTCAAGAGTCAAATAAATCAATCAAGAGCTGAGTGGGACCGATTATCATATCTAGATTTTCATGAAAGCCATGGGAGAACAATGCACGGACATGATTTAGTCAGTGCTGCTAAAGTATGGCCAAACATTAGTAATAGGAAAATCACATTTAAGGCTTTTTTCCGTAGTTAAAAATAGTTTCTCTTTGGTCAATGATCTAAATACAAGAGTTACTTACCGTCCAATGAAACCAGTAACTTATTTCAGTTCCACCTCAAAATAACTAAACCACCATAGTTTCTTTCTTCCAACTCTAGCAGCAGTGTATACACTACTATCCTCTTTCAAGCTCAAACTTCCTTGATAACTTGCACTACCCAAAAACCTAACGTTTCCACGTATAAACAAACCAAAACCACTACAGTTCACTGTGAAAATTACATGATAACACAGATTTTCCCACAAAGAAGGCATTTCATTCACATCCAACTTCAGTCTGCAACTAACAAACCCTTCATTGACCTCTCACTCACAACTAGAATTCCACTGCCTAATACAAATCCCAAAACTTTAGAACTCATGTGACACTCCCTCCCTTGTTAATCTAAATTGCTCAGAAGCAGCACTTTTTGCCTTCACTACAAACCAATAAACAAAAAAATGAAACTAAAACCCATTTCAGAATTCACTCGCTAGAACCACCTAAATCCCATCAATTTCTTTCCCCACTAAAAAAACTACATTTCATCCACGTCCACCACACTCCACGGGCATCAAACCCTCTTTCAAATTCAATGCAACAAAGATATGTCCATCATCCTTCCACCCAAAACAAAATGGTGATCCCTAACGAGACCACAAACATGAAACATAAAGCGAGATAGTCAAAAAACAGAAAACGGAATAGTGACAGCAGTACCCCATTGATTCCATTTGATTGGAGGAGGAGGACGGAGGCGGAGGCGGCGCTGCCGAGGAAGAGGGAGGCAACGGTGAAGGCTTTGAGAGGCATGAAGCGCGAATCGCCTGCGTACCCTTTGGCGTAGGAACGCATACCCAAACCCATTTGAGCAGCGGCGGCTACACCCCACCACCATTGGATCCCAGTCTCACTGTTGTTGCCACCGCCGGTGATTTCCTCCATCTCCATCTTCTGTTCCGATTCTCAGGTTTACAATTAACTTTACTCAATCACCAGCAAGGCTTCTTCTTCTATCTCCCTTCAGAGAGGAACACGAGAGCTTGGAATTTTTCACCACTAGCAGCAAAAGGGATATTAGAAGGGTAAAATGTTTTGTCTTTTTTCTTTTTCGTTTTAATTTGAAAATATTTTATATTTAATTATATGTTTGTAGTCAATACGTAAAGATTATATATTTTAAACTATTTTCTATTGTGCCCTTTTAACTGTTATTTAATTAAAATATTTTTATTATTTAGTAAGATATAGAACTCAACAATCTCTCCCAAAGTGTTTAACTTCTTAATTCAAAATTATTATATTAGCTATCTCACTTTTTATTTCTTTTACAAAATTATTTATTTTTACAATTTTTAAAATTATAATATTTAACACAGTAAATAATGTTATTAAGTTAAAAATTATAATTCTCCACGAAGACTAAAATTCTTGTTAGAATTCAAGTAAAACAAATAAGATATTTTATCATTTTGATCAGTGTAAAGAAGGTTTTAGAAATAATGTTAAAAGAGAGCATTTCATAAAAGAGTTTGATAATCTTTCGTAAAAGATGTAATAGAATTATCTATTTACATGAATGAAGCATCTAAATGGATCGGCTTTTGATAAGTATTTGATAAATATTGCAGCTTATTTAAAAATAAGATTAATATCATTTTAATTTTTAAACCATTACATGAAATTTTTCTTCGTTTTAATATATAGTTTAATTTTTAAATTTAATAAATAAATAAATATAATCTTTGTCATCACATAATATTATTATTATTTGTTCACATGACAAATAATATTATTATTTGTTATCAAATGTGTGTTCACGTCACTGTATAATATACACCTGCTAACATATTCTTTTACATCAACAAATTTTTAAACATTTATTAATAAAATTTGGATTAAAAATATTTAAAGTTTAAGATATGAACAAAATTTAGTTTCACATTAAAGTTAAAAAAACTTAAAATATATTTAACTTTTAAAAAATTATACATATAAAATATATTTAATCTTTTATAAAAACATTTTACCTTTTAATATATAAAAAAAACATGTCTTAATCTTTTTAAAATAACTATAAATATTTGTGAACTTAATTTAAATTTAAATATCTTAAATAATAGTTAAATTTTAAATAAAAGAATAATATACATATTGATACGTAAAATAATAGAAATTATTCCAAAAATTAAATTTTAGTTTAATAAAATAAAATAGAATGATATATATATATATATATATATATATATATATATATATATATATATATATATATATATATATATATATATATATATTTCTACAAGTGTAAAATAAAATATTAGTATATATGTTTTTTAATTAAGACAAAATCGTCTAAAAGAGAGATCACTTAAAGTATATTTGATCGTAAAGTTTAACAAACAACATTAAAATGAAATAATCTCACTAGTGTAGTCAAGAGAAATGACAGCGGTTATTTTCACCTATAGACAGCGATTTCGCAACCGAGATATATAAAAGTGAGGCAAAAAGGGGTAGGTTTTTTGCCTCGGTTGTGAACCGAGGCAAAAAGGTGTAGGCTTTTGTCTCGGTTATGAACTGAGGCAAAAAGATGTAGGCTCTTGATTCCTACTGAACCGAGGCAATATGTCGGACTCTACTGCCTCGGTTGTGACTTGAACCGAGGCAGTAGAGTGTTTTTTATTTTATTTTTTTACGTTTGGTTTCGCGAACATTTATGTCCTCGCAAGACTGATCGGTTGTGACTTGCATCCACTGTCTAGGTTGCTTCGAATGTGGAAACCACCACAGCTAGACTGAACCGCAAAAGAAAATATACGAGCAAAACCATGAAATCAAAAACCCAACTCGAAACGAAAACCTTAAATCCTTAAATCACAAAATCAAATAACAAGAACAAAAATTCCCAAAACTAGAGAATAATTAAAACCCTAATTTCAAATCTCAAGATGCGCCTAAGATGTAGAAGTCGCCTCCCTTCCTACATAAACGAACCAACACCGAGAAGCGAAATGGACTTTTCCCTCCATGCGAAACACAAACCAGAGTTGGAGAAGAGGAAAAGGAGGTTCGCACCTCCCTCACTGCGAGGCGAAACGAAACGGGAAGAAAAGAAAAAGATGAAGATGGGTGCTTCCCCCTTCTTGTGAAGCCGCGACAAAGGAGTGAAGAAGAAAACAAAACATTGCGCGAAGAGAACCCCAAGGGCAAGAGAGAGCAGCGACACAAAACCTAAACAAAGACATTATGTCTAAAAGTGCCTCTCTTCGTGAAATTTAAACCTAAACGAGTGTTATTACCTCGGTCTATGGGCAAACCGAAACATAAAACGCGTATGGCATCGACTAAGAGGGAACCAAGGCAATAGAGGTTACCAAAATGGATTTTGGAACGTTCGGTTTCAGAGGATGTGTACTTGTGGCAGGACAAAATGAATTAGAACGTTCGGTTCAGAGGATGTTTGGTTCTGGCAGGAGATACTGCCTCGATTCTGAGCAGCAACCGAGGTAGTATACTCGTTCGGTATCGGTTCTCAATGAATTGAGACATATAATGTCGCTATAACTACGAAAATGTCACAGCGTTATTATACGCTTCAGTTTTTGCAAAACCGAAGCGTATATAAACATGTTAAAAAGCTTGTTTTTTTACTAATGTCTTTAGTAATCAGATGTCAAACGAGCATAGATACAAAGAACAAAAAAATAAAATTACATTCTCTAATGATTATAAAAGAAAAAGTTTTTGAACACTAGAAAATGGACATCACAAAATCATCTAGGTACAATTCATCTAGTTACCCACTTAGCATGAAAAAGATATGTAAAAAGAAAAATGTCTAAAGATTAGAAGCATCTATGTGTCAAGCCCAATCAAAGTAAAAATCAAGGTTACATCTAAAGCTATATAAAGTGTCAAACCAAATCAAAAGTAAAAATCAAAGTTACATCTAAAGCTACATAAGGTATTAAACAACAGAAGAGATAAACTGATATAACATAAAGCATAGAAGAAGCCTACACACAATATGTCTAAAAATATACAATTACAAAGTAATGAGTATAAGAAGTGTCTAAATAAAACTGACAAAACATTAAGCGCAAGAATCGATCAAAGTAACACATATACCTTGCAAGGAGTATTGTTGAAAGAAAATATGCGTAAAGTAAAAGAATGCACCTTTAGTCTAAAAGACAAACACATCATTCGAAACATAACACAAAACTAATAGCATTGCATAAATCACTACTAAGAAAGAAAGTTTGGTAAGATAAGATAGCATCTTCACATGGTTTAAAGACTAATAAATAAGACAACGAGCAAAATAGATGATTAAAAAGTAGGTTTAATACATCATTTAGTCCCTAGTTTTGGGGATTTGGTTCAAAATAGTCCTACCTTTTGAAAAAGTTCAATAAGGCCCCATATTTTATTTAAAAATGTTCAATTCAGTCCTTTTCGTGGACGCCGTTAGAAACATAACGGTGCAGATGCCACTATGGCCAAATCTGAGTGAGTTGTTATGTTGGATAATTACGTGGCACTGTAAAGTGAAGTGTGTGCTCTTTAATTAAAATCAAAGAAAATTCCAATCTAAAACCCTAATGTTTTAAGAACCCAAAAGTGGAAATTAGAATCAGAAACTCTAAATTGAGGATTTTTTCCTCTGACTTGGGGATTTTTCCCTCTAACATCAGAGGATACTATATATAATTATATCAAATGTTGAAGCAGTGACTTTGTTTTGGTTTGGTTTTCTGCTCAAAGAGATAGACATGAAGTGAGTTTTATAATGTGACAAAGATTAAGATGAGACACCCAAATAGTTTCCAGTACTGTTACTCTTGTTGATGAACATTGTGGACCCACCAAGAAATTTCATAATATTGTGTGAGAAATGAGCTTGCTTTTTAGTAGGCTGGCCAAAAACTATCTTTGTCTGTAAACATTGCTCCTCCTTTTCGTTTTGTAGCATCAAAATCGCTGTCCTGAGAACGAAGGCATTGCCCGTGAAGGAAATTAGCTTCCTGCACATTTTCTTTGTCACCTCTGATACACACCATACGCTGGGTAATTGTTGAGCATGTCTTCTAATATGTGGTACACATCTGCATAAACGAACATTGAACCCTTCAGATTTGAATTCAGCTCTGGAATAAGACCCTTCAACTGGATATTGAATAACTGTACTAGTTGATTGGGAAAACTGACACACCCATCACCCGCAGCCATGTTTGTATCCCTCTAAATTGGAGATTTTTCCCCAATTTAGGGTTTCTAATTCTAATTTCCACTTTAGGGTTCTTAAAACGTTAGGATTTTAGATTGTAATTTTCTTTGATTTTAATAAAAGAACACACACTTCACTTCCAACATAACACTTCACTCAGATTTGGCCATAGTGGCATCAGCACCGTTATGTTTTTAACGGCATCCACGAAAAGGACCGAATTGAACATTTTTAAACAAAATATGGGACCTTACTGAATTTTTTCAAAAGATAGGACAATTTTGAACCAAACCACCAAAATTAGAGATCAAATGATGTATTAAACCTAAAAAGTATTATCTCGGTAAAACTTATCCCTAAATAAAACGGCCTCCTATGAAAAAAAAACTTTAGTATACGCATCATTAATTTTTGAAATATTTTAATGGAATTATTTTTTTTAACAATATATATGGAAATACTTATTTTATTATTTTTTTATTATTATAGTGTTAAACATCTCACATTTATTAAATGTAATATTAAATTTTAAATACCATTCTCGTTATTAATTTTGTGATATTAAATTAAACTTTAAATTTCTTTCTTAATATGAAATTAAAGTTTTTCTTCATAAATTTTATTTAACATATTAGGTGTACCTCATTATTAAATCATTATTAAAACATCCATAATATCTAATCTCAAATAAATAAATAACTAAATTATATATATATATATATATATATATATACTAGTACAAAAATAGTGTATAACGTCACGCGTTTAACATCCAACCACTGAATAACCAACGTTAAAAATGAGCGGTGACATTTTTGTGTAAATACATGCAATTGTTAAACGTCTTTTAGAATTGTAATTCGACCTAAAAGGATATAAAACGTCAAATGACTTTTAAACTCGACGTCAAAAGGTTAGTGAATTCAATACAAATTTAAACGGGAGATTGAAAATTCATTCACTTTATCTTAGCACGCGATACCCTCTTCTCTTCTCAAACTTTTCTCGAACGAAGTTTAACGAACATCCTATGTGATCTTTCTTTCATTTGATACAAATGCATGTTAATTAATTATTTTATGTATGATTTTTGTTTGTTTTAACCGATTATTTTCGTGCTCTTGTCCTTCATAGGAGCATTCTGCTTTCTCTCTCACTATGACGAAACTTTATTCCGACGAACCCATCTTTTGAAAGTTAGTTTTCGTTTTCGTTTTGAAGAACTTATTTGTTGAACTTGTTTGTTGTTTTTTGTTATTGAACTTGTTTGTTGTTGCTGTTTAGTTGAACTTTTGTTTGTTGTTGTTGTTTGATTGAACTTGTTTGTTGTTGGTTATTATTGTTTGCTGTTGATGCTACACTACACATTCATAGTTCATGTTTTATAAAATACCAAATACTAAAATTTGTTATTTTTTTGCTTTCAGGTATTGTAGAGTTGTAAAAAAGGATCATAATTAATAATAAAAAAAATTGATTAACGTCAAATTTTTTAAATTCGACCTAAATTTAACAATATGATATCGTTCACGAATTCGCCATTAAAAGTCCAAAGTCCAAATGTTCAACATTGTACGCGATTTTTGTAGTAACAACTTCAAACTAAAAGTTCTCCTATACATATTCTCAAGTCAAATTTGTATTTAAAACACTTAACTTAATATAACAGTCAAATACCAGCTTCATATCTAACGTGTCAAAACAACATAAAACAACTCAATTCAAATGAATAGATTTCACAAAATTCAAGGATTTACACAAAATGACATTAAAATACCAACTTCATATATTTCACTATCAAAACAACATAAAATAACTCAATTCAAATTAATACAAATCACAAAACTCAAGGGTTTACACAAACCCTATATATTAGTCAATCACTACATAATAATATTTCTAATTTCATCATCAAAATTCGCAATGAAAATCAAATTAGTACTAAATTGGTTCATTCTTAAATATCTAACCTATGATTTATTCAGAATAATATTTCCATGAGTAAATAAAGTTTCTTTTGTTCTTCTACATCCGAAATTCGAAAAAAGTTAGAGAATACTAGCTGTTTCGGTAGGGATGTGGAGAACGAGATACGAACCTAACAAACTTGCTCTGCGCTGTTTCTCTGTGCTGCTTTCACTGTGTTACCTTTTTTCTGTCTCCTTTGAACAAGGTGGGCTGGGTACCTGCAAAAGTACTCCGACGCTCAAGTCAACAAGGGTGTTGTCTGAAAAATGAGAATATCTATCTTCTTAGGGGAAAAACGTACCTTTTTTCTGGTATGCTGTGTATATTTAAAGGAGTAAAATAAACCGTTTACCTGAAATCTCGGGTGGTTACTGGAGTTGGCTATCTATAAGGTATAACTGCTAGATATTGAGTCAAGTACTTCCATGATTCACGGCGCTTGTTAGCCAATATGCGTAACTGTTTATTTGTAACCGCTAGATCACGATGTCGCATATTGTATGTCGATCATCATGCGTGTCGATCTGGGAGGACGACGTGTCGATTGTCGAGCCTCAACTGGACGACAACGCCACATGGTCGTATGTTATTATAGTCGGTTGTCTAGTGGTCGACCACACTAAGTGGTCGGATGTCATTACGGGCATGAGAATGTCCTGCATTGGTTTAATTGTCGTCGGGTTATTGGTCGACAGTTGGAGGATTAGGTATCCTATAGTACACTAGCTTATTTTTAAAATTCTTTCACAAATAAAACATTTCACTGCATACCTAGATTGACAAAGAATTCATCTATTCGGTTCAAATGTCAGATAGAACCATCAAGACTACACATTCATGCTAAAAAAATAAAAAATAGGAAAGTAGATATCGCAAAAAGAAACTTAAATGAAATAATATTAGCTCAAAACCTTACAGAATTATAGTAGCACTTGGTTAACTTCTTTTTTAATAAAATCGAATAAATCACTGTATTATGTTAAAGAAATTAGAGATTCAAGGGAATTGAAAATTTAATAAATAAAAATCTATAAATATATATTTGTATGTTATATATTTCAAACAAAGATTCTTTATTTTAAAAGCCACATCTCGAGGAGTCCTTTTTTAAATTAAAAATTCTTTAACTACTCTTGATATATTAATAATGTAAATGAAGTACTATTTATTTATATTCCTAATTACTCGAATTTGATGATATATGTGTTGAAAGAAAAGTAACATTTTTACACCCTTCTAAAAATACACCAGTTGACTACACCTTTATTAATATAATTGACTATACATTTATTAATATAATAAATATCTTTTAGACTTTTAAGTTAAAAAATAAATAAATATAATTAAAATATTATTATTATAAATTGTAAGGTGGAATTTTTAGTTAGTAATATTAGCATATTATCACTCGTTGAAAAGTTGTTATTCTAGTTAATCTTGGATTTTAGTTGTTATTTGGATATTCTAAGTAAGATTTTATCTTTGAATACTAGTTATATTTGATTCAAAAAACATGTAAATACTGAAAGTCTTCATTAAAATATATAGATTTTGATTTTAGTTGATTAAGCAGTGTTTCAGTCAATTAAAATGTTGTCAAACTAATTGAATTTGCAAGTTTCATTATGAAGTTGACTCTATATATAAATAGCCTTTTAAAAAGTACATTTAGTCAACCAAATTTACTACCACAAAGATGTGTTCATTCTGAAAGCTATTTCTGAGCTAATTAAAGGAGTTTTTAAATGGTTAAAATATCATAATGTAAATTCTTAAAACACATTGAGTGAAAGAGAGAACCTGAAAACTTTAAAAGCAGTAAAAGAGAATAAAATAAGATAACAACACTGAACAGCATTAAGTTATTGTCCTCTTAGAGAGGAGTTTCTGGCTACAAAGGAAACCTTAATCACCATGTCATCACCCATGTTCATGAGTTTGAAAAAGCAAGCATCTCCTTCTTTCAAATTATTGTCCCTTGCAAAATCTAACAAATTAGTGAAGTAAGCTGAATCATTTGGATAACGAACCAATTTAACCCTCCATCTTCTGTCCCCAACAACAAGAGTAACAAATTCTTCACGACGTTTGTTTTGGCTCCTCACTGCTGCTCTTGGCAGATACTGCATCATATATATGCATTTTTCACTTCAATAATGAGATTCTCACATACTATATATTATTGCTTAGTTTGAGAACATACCATGTACCCAGTAGTAAAAAAGGTTGGTTTCATTATCACCATGAAGGTATTCTCAAGAGCTTCCATGTTTCTCTTCCCTTCATTTAGATTCTTCAACATACCTAAAAAGGGAAAATACTATTAAACATTAAATCCTTCAAATATGACCTCATTAGGAATCTAGAATCATACCTTTGTGGTCTCTGACTAATTCATCGGATGCAGTGTCTTGCAAATTGGAACAACACCTTTTCTTATTCTCAGTTGTTTTCTTTGTCTTAGGTGGTTGAATGTTTTCACTCTTAATTTTAACCCTTTTGTGATTTGCTTTGTTGACAGGGTAGTCTATTTCCATGCAACTCATATCACAGATGAGTACATGGAAATGGGATGTTCCATTGTATCCTAAAACCAAGAGGTGTCCATGGGCTAGAGAGTGATACTCCACAAACTCTTTCCAACCTTGCTGAAACCAAACACTGCCATCACTTTTCTCCAATTTTACTTCCCATTCTGCATCGTTTGGAAGCTTAAGAAACATTGTGTTGGGCAAGTGATTTCCATATTTGCTCACAAACTTAGCTGGAAGCTTCTGTTGTGCAGATACAGATTAAGAAATATACAACACACATTAACAAAATCTAGTTTTGGCTATATGAATCAATAAAATTCACCTTATCGTTTGACAAGTTTTATGTACTGGTTTGTGATTTCTTGGCTTGGACTCAAGATTTCTAACATATTATAATCTTAGTTGTGGTCATATATTGATCACAACATCAAGAATGACTAAGTACACATGATTGCGATTTAAAACCTCTACTAAAGTGCATGCATGTTAAGAATGTAAGGTGATTATGGGTGTTTAAGGTGAATACAGTGTATGATCTCCAAAAATGAACCATGATTTTGCTTACTAGCTTTCCATGCTGAAGGTTGTTGGAGAGGATGATCCTGAAAAAGTGGATTGGCTTTGACGCACTGCCCCCATGATGAGAGTCATCTCCTTGGTTAAGTGTTGAAGTCATTCCAAGCATTCAATGGAATACATAAGTAACAGAAAGAGGATTTGATGATATATATTTGCTTTGAGTTTTGATGACTGAGAACAGCCAAAGGAGATGGAGTTATAGGAAAGGAAAGTGTTTTGGTAACTGATAATAATTAAATTTTTCATAGCAGATTAATAGGTTTTGGAAAGTCTGCACCAGGAACAAAGAATAAGAAACAACAGATTTAGGAATCTGTAATTAATGACGTTGTTATCTCTTATTTTTTTAATGCTAATTACTATTAGGAAGTTTGTTTTTCATGGTTGAATTGTGGTAAGTTTTATGAAGAATATTGAGAAAACCGACAAGAGATTGACTATTTATGGATATATATAATTTTTGGTTTAGACATTTGTTTTACTGTTTTATCCTTCAAACCACTTCAAAATTAATTTAAAATATTAAAACTTAATCAAACAAAAATTCTATAATTAAAAAAGTATAGGTGAGAAATTTTGTAAATGAAATACCAATTTATCAATTAACATAAAAATAAATAAAATGGAGGAATCCAGGAGAAATAAGTAAGACTTTTTCTTTAGCTTCTCAAATTTTTAACTGCTGAATTTGTTTTATTTTTATTTTTTTACTTTAGAATTTTTTTTCTTTAATTATTTTTTAAATTGATTTAAGACATTTTCTCATACATACATATATATATATATATNAGTCTTTCGTAGGCACCTTTAGATCTTTCAGTGTATTCGATCCAAATGTTGTCATCCTAATTGTATACATATAATATATCATCTAATATTTTTAATCATCGGAAAGGGACGGGGAAATGGTAACAGGGTTGGTGGTTCAATTAACGATCAAGAAAAACTATAGGATCAATATTATTAGAAGGTATGCAGCTTTGTTAGGATTTAATTTTCTTTAGTGGTGATAAAGCATACCAACTCGGCCCGTTTCAACCTCGAGCTGACCTTGGTCCTGCAAAAACAGGTTGAGTATCGACCAATGAAGACCAGGTGGCTTAGCTGCTGGGTTGTTTTTGGGTTTGTCCGACCTGTTTTTGAGTTCGATCGAACTGTTTTTGAGTTCGATCAAGTTCTTTTCGAGCTCGACCAAATTTTTTTCGAACTCGATCGAGCGGTACTGAGCTCAGTAGTGATGTTTTAGAACTTGACAGTGATATTTCAGATCTCGGTTGAAATGTTTCAAAACTTTGTCGAACTGTTTCAAAGCTCAATCAAAATGTATCAAAGTTCAGTCGAGCTATGGTTAGGATGTCAGGTTGGTTTGTTGACTGTTGGGCTGTCAAGTTAAAGACTTTGGCCCAATTTGCGCTTTTTTCTTTTTTGTCGAACTGTCAGACTAACGAGGATTTGTCATCCCTAATTTTCTTATATAAAAGTATATAAAATTGTTTAGTATAATTTAGATTTTTCTAAATGATAACCTTTAGGAAAACAAAAATACACACTCAAGTTTAGATATGGCATATATACATATAAGATGACATTTATTATTGGTGGTTTAATTAACCATAAAAAGGTTTTGAGATCAACAATATTAAGAGGAATGTAACTTTGTTATAGATTTATTGTGTTTATTTTGTTTATCATCTTCTCGTGACGTAGAATAAAAAGTAAAAATAAAAATCTACTGAACAAAACCAAAAGCATAAAATTTAAAAAGTTTAATTAAATATTTTCGCTCAGAAAATATATATATATATATATATATATAATATTTTAATTAATTTTTTATTTGCAATTTTATAACATTTTTTTTTATAAATATTCAGTTTTTGTGTTTACTTTCTATAACAACTTTTCTGTTAGGATGCGTTTATGATAAATATAATGGTGTTAATACTGTTATTAGTTTGAATTAATAAATTATGATGTTTAATTTTATAATTAATTAATTTAAATTTAAGTTATTTTAAAACTTTCTTTATTTTTATGTAATAAACAATTTATGATGAAAAATATATTGGGAACAATAAAGATGTAAAAAGGATTCTAACATGTGAGCAACTGGTTTGGAAAATTTTTAGTTTTTTTAATATGGTTTGAACTTGATTAACTTAACTCACTAATCAAAAGGATTCAAGTAAGTTAAAAATGGATTAACCCATAACTCTCCAACAATAATATTTTATTAAAATTATTAATTACTAATTATATGAGTTTATAATTTAATTTTTTAAAGTACTAAAATCTTGTTCAATAACATTTGAATAATTTAGATGTTTAATTTATTTGTTTGTTAAGTTATATACATCTACTCATAAATGACTATTAATTCCGATCGGTATATTTCATAGAGTACACAATCCCATCGAGGGCATTCGTCTATCTTGTCAATGTCCCATAAAATTTGCAATGGCAAAGTGATAACGGTTGAAAAACTGTTATTTTTATACTTAATTTTGATATTAAAAACAACCTTTATGACTTAGAAACTAGTTTTAAATCATGTTTTTACTTAAGTTTTGGAAATAAGAGAGTTGGATGAGTTTTATACTTGATTTTCCTTGTTTTGGCACGAATTAAGATGAATTAGATGAAAGAAGTTGAAGTACTAAGGAGCTAGGAAAGGAAGTAAAAGTGCACAAAAAAAGAGTCGCATTCACCGCTCAGCGCAACTTTTACCGCTGAGCGGCGTTCTGAAGCACCGCAGTCCTGTTGAGGGCTAAAACTGCAGCTGAGTGTCTTCTTGAAGAGCCGCACTTTTGATTGAAACCTCTTGAAAGGAGATGAAGTTATTGAAAAAGAAAAAAAAATTGGTAATTGATACCTAATTAAATTTTTTTATAGTCCAATTTGAAACTTTTAGATAATAATTTGATTGAAACCTCTTAAAGGAGATGGAGTTATTGAAAGAAAAAAAATTGGTAATGGATGCCTAATTAAATTTTTTTCATAGTCAAATTTGACACCCTTGTATATGAATTTGATTGAAACGATGGAGTTATTGGAAAAGAAAACAAATTGGATGATTGAAGATCATTTTAGTTAGGTCAATCATCAGAGATGGAAAGGGTGCCTGTTTACTAGAGTAGACATTCATAGTTGTTGTTACCAATGTATTGTTTTTTGTATTGTTACTATCAATTTATAGTAATTGAGCAACATCATAATGGTATTAAAAGATGATTTTTTGTAGGATCTTTTTTGTCTTTCCTTTATTTTGTTGTTACTCCTGTATTGTTCTTCTATTTTGGAATCAATGTCCACAGTGCTTTCTTGTTTATAAATTTTAGATATATTACAATATATATGATATTCATGTTTAACGAAAACTTGTAGAGGAGGGATTTTGTTTACTGAACACATTAGATTGAGCCACTCACACTCTTACAATTTACAAGGTTGGAGTAGAGTAATATCCTTTCTCATTTTTCATGTGTTATTTATTTCATGGTTTGGTTGCAAATTTCTTAATAGCAAAAATTTGCCATGAATTTTGTGAAGTATGATATAATTTCCTTTGTGAACATCAAGAATTTAACTTGAACTTCTACTAGCTTCACATCCCAATTTATCTGTTTCATGATACATATCTTCTACGCGAAGTCCTTAATGAGAGAAAACATATAAGCTAAGGTGCTCTAACCTTCTTGTTTTTTCTTATTTTTTATATCTCTTTTGTATTTAGTTGCATCATAAATGTACAAGAGTCCCTTCCTCTAGGACCAATCCCTATGGAGATAACTTTCTTAATTAAATTCCTTGGTACTTTTCACTGAGATGATGGTTGACACTTTACATTTAATTTGATTTCTGCTGAAGAATACTTGGCATAAGTGGTTATGTATTAGAATATCTGGTGTTGCATTATTTTGGGATATCTTCATATATATTGTATTTAATACCACATGTTTGCTAAGCTTAACTCATTATTTAAAATCTGATATTAACAAGAATTGTAGGATTTCTTTTTGTCTTTGATCTGTTTAGTAGCATTAGTCTAGGCATAAGCTAGTTTTTTTTAGTATTTTTAGTTTCAAGTTTGTAAATACATGTAGTCATAACTTAGTTAGATGAATTTGAATTTGCTTAGTTGTTTTTTAGTGGATTATAGTAGTATTAGGTTTGTTCTTATTTTATGTGTTCATTCTAATTGATAAATAGTATATTAGTTTCAAATTTCAGCTTTGTATAATGAATTTTTGTATAGTAATTATTTGTATTGTTTTTAAGCTTTCTACAATAATTTTTACCAATTAGAACTTTTTGAGATAACTTTTGTTACATTTTCCTTAGTTTAGTAAGTCATATAATTCTGCATAGCTTAAATAAGCATAGTTTTAGTGGATAGATTTTAGTGAATAGGTCAAATTTCAAATCTGTCATCAATTTTAGTAGTTAACTTTGTTTCTAGCTTTCATTAGTTGTTTGAAAATTGTAGGAATCAGGTTAGTTAGATTTTAATTGGTGTTTGTAGGAGTACCTAGTGTATGTCCTGTTTTTGTTGATTTCGTCCAGTTTCTTAGGTTCATATAGTCAGATTTTATATTTTCACCCTTATGATGCAAATATGAGTTTAACTAGTTCAATTAAGTGATTTTAAAGTCGTGTGCATAGTTACTATGTTATTAAATAGTGTTAAAATCAGATTTTAGAACTAGTAGAGTTTTATTAACCAAATTTTACTAGTTAATGTTGTAACTTTTAGTAGTATAGGTATATTTTGATTTCCTAATCATTCTTAGTAACTAGTTCAGTCTTTTGTAACCTTTTAACATTCAAAACTTTTTTAGGCACTTACCTTTTGGTTTTATTATAGGGTAGGTACAATTCTTGCATTTTAGCTTAGATTATCAAGTCTATTAGGCTTTAGGTAGACAGATTTTTAGGTTGTGATAGAAATAGATATTTGAGCAGTTTCTTAGATTATTTGAACCATTTTGAATATGTTTAGATAACTTTTATCCTTGTACATATGATATATTAGTGCAATTTATAGTTTCTATGTAGCACAACTTTAAGATGGACCTATTAAGTATACTATATTTTTGTTTGGGCATATCTCTTGCTGAGTTGTTGGTTAAAATTAATACAATTCAGTTTAAAATTAGTACAGTTAATAGTTTAGTTCAGTTTATATTGTAGTTCAGTATAATTCAGTATATTTCAGTTCAGTAACAAAAAATAGTTCAATTCAATTTGTCTGAACTATTTAGTTCAGTTCAATTCAATTTGTCTGAACTATTTAGTTCAGTTCAATTCAAACAAATTAGTTTTTAGTTCAGTGTAGTTTTTAATAGTGCAGGTGAGTTCGATTTGCCCACCCCTAACCAAACCCTTCTCTGATTTCTTTTCAAACCCTATAGGGAGCTTCATCTCTTCATAGCCTCTAACCACCCACAAGAAGCCTCTAACCACCCCCAAGAAGTATCTTCCACAATCTCTCAAACCATAAGCTACTTCATCTATTTGCTTCTCATCAAGTACACCCATACTCCGAAAAGAAACATAAACAACCAACATTTTTTCCTTATCATCTAACCATTTGATGCATTCTTCACTTGTGGCCTCTACATCACCATGGTCCTCATCATCTTTGTTATGTTTATGGATGAACATGGGTGAAATAGATATCCAATTGTCATAACTTTTGGCCAGATCTTCATCGTTTAATCAGTAACCTACATCCAAAATAAGTAATATCAGGTCTTGTAACACATTTATCATAAATTATGCACACACGATAGGAAAAACACATTTTATTAACATATATTTGTCGATAACATTAAATCTGTTGGTAAATATAATTTGTCGATAACATTAAATCTGTTGGTAAATATAAATTGTCGACAAAAATATAAGGGAATACATGTGTTCATTTATAGACGTACATTTGCATCAATAATTTGTATTTATCGATAAATTTCTTGACAGATGTATCTGTCTCATTTATCAATCCATATGTTTTCTCATTTATCAATCCATATTCTATTTTTTTAAAATAATTTTGCAAAAGCAAACTTTTGTTAAAGTGTTAGAATGAACATACATCTTTTCATTTATGGTGAAAATTGTCACTTAAAAAAAATGAATGTAAATATTTTTTAAATTAATTGAAAAAGAGCTTGTAAAATGGAGTAAAGAACATATATTATATTCCTATCCATCTCATCTCATTAATAGTAGTATACATGAACAAAATATTCACCCTTTAGACAGCTGATGAGAATAGAAATAAGAAACTTTAAGTTTTACCTCACAAACTTAAATTTTACCCCACTACCCATAATTATTTGGAATTACTTTTCAGTAATCAATCCATTTCAAAATTTTATAAAAAGAGAATGAATGCTCTGATTCATCCTTTAATTTCAAATAGCACAATACTCATTCCATTATATTACAAAAGATCAAGTAGACGAGAACCAGTGTGAGACCTCGGAAAATTAAACCATAATTATCATGTCTAATCTGTTATTAATGCATTGCTGAGTCACCTGACTGCTTCCATAAATGCACCGTGC